CCCCAAAACCCCAAAACCCCAAAACCCCATATTCCTAGGGTGATTGAATTATCTGTTCCTGAGAATTGCATTTTCGAATACCTTTTTGTAGTCATTTTTGGTTCCATTCTCTTCCTATAAATTAGAGATTAAGACACCTTTGAAGATTGGATAAGCTTGTCTAACATCAATCTTATATTTCTTTTGAATTTTTCTCCTTTCCTTAATTTAAAAGGCTAAAATGTAAATAAGTCAGTACCTTTTTAGAATCATTAGTGCTCTTCTTGGTAATTCTATGATCTTATGTCTATGATCTTACTTCTCAGCAACCTTCCTGGTACCAGCAAATTTCGAGTGAATTTGTTTATCAAGTGAGGAAAGGATACTCTCATTGGTTGATTTATGATGTGTACTGTTCTCCTTCAGTGTAGGCACTATAAAAGCTGATCCAACTATCCAAATTAGTGCTTACTCTTAACCTCTCCTCGGTTGAGCTGCTTGAACAAAGCATTTCTTTGGTTTTGGACAGATACATTATTCTGAAGAGATGTGACATAAACATTTGAGATATTATTGACTAATCTTTTCCCATATCTCGCATTTTCTCTTTCTGTAGAAATATTGTGTGCCATTTCAAATGATTTCGCTGAGGATGAACTAAGAGGCTTACATAGCTTCATTTTGCAGAGGGATTGAACCGGCTTCTAAAGATTTTTATAAAATTTACCTGAATATTCATGGATGGGCTCGCAGTCAAACCTTCTATTGGTGGAGCATTCAGGGGATATTGGTTAACAGACTTGTTGAATATCCTTGGAGAAAACTCATAGTTTCTGTATTTCAATTTCAACTCTTGTTCTTGAGTATTTGCGCTAGAGTTTAAACAATAATTTACCCAGGGGTGAAATCAGGCTTTGCTTTTCAGAGAAATTTATCAAACTTGGAAAAATGAGGAATCTTCTTTAGATTTCTAGTGTATTTTTGAAAATTTGCTAAAGCTTAATCCTCTTTTTGTTACAGAAATTGTTATCAGCCTCTTTAATCACATCGCTAGCACAGATCTCCAAGAACTTAGATTGGCTCGAGAAACTTTCTAAGCTCTTACCATTCCGAGGACTTCTATCAGTAGTAACGCCTGATGGCCTCTTCAGTGGAGGAATATTAGGGGATCTAGAATTAGTCGTCCTCGCCATCTGTGTAACTTTCTTATTTCGCTATATTCTTTACTTGTGTTTTCTTCTCTTCAGAATCCTTGACTTCTAGGAGGTCCTTATTGAGCTAAATCATAATATCACCTCAAACTCTTACTGTTCTTCTTGTTCGGCATACTTTATTTCAGTTTTCTATAGGTCAGGAATTTTCATACCCAGAATCAAGAGGTTTCAGAGATCTCTCTCTGACCGGAGTAATCTTTGGCTTTTTCTGTATCTTCCTGTGTATTAAGAAAGTTGTATTCCTCAAATCATTGCTGAGGTCATTGTTTAACGGAGGAGGAGCAATACTAAAATATCAATGTCATCATACTTTTTGAGTAAGAGATTGTGTTTGACTTTCATTGTAAATAGATTCTTCTTGATTTTCCCTGGACAATTACCCAAAATTTGGGAGAATCTTACTCATTGCTAAGTCCTTGTGCTCTCTCTCACGAGTAGTTAAGTTTGGAGATGTACTTTTGTAGTTATCCATTGTTATTTTGTCTGTTTCAATATTTTTATAAATTAAAGGGGTTTTGGGGTTTTGGGGTTTTGGGGTTTTGGGGTTTTGGGGTTTTGGGG